CGATAAAACGCCGCCAACCGGACATGGTTTTAGCATTAGTGAAAATAGATTCTTCACATCAAACAGCCCCTATCAATTTTATTCCCCCAATAGGAAAGAAAAAGAACAAGAAAGACGCACGAGATGAATCTGTAACATCTAGTATCGGTATTCACAAGCAGATGTCTTACTTCTATCCTATAAAGAAGACATCTTATTGAAAACTCCTTGATAATGGGGAGACGAGAAACAAAGAAGATAAATGAAGAAACTAGAAAAAGGTCAAATATCTTGTCCGACCTGCTGAGAACAAAATGAGAAAGCGTATATATGTATTTCTTGTGCATGAATTGCCATCTTATTCAATTAGGAATCGACAATATCGAAGCCATTGGTAACTACTGTCAACAGAGAGTGAGAGAGAGGGAGAGTAAAGGCTAGCGTATGTATTCTAATGGGTATAAAATGAGACTGCCTGCTTGTTCTATCCATGTTGACGATGCTAATCAGTGCATGCACAAACAAAAAAGAAAAGATTTGCGTGTTCATTGCGCAAGACTATTGCTCTCGTCATCATTATTCTTTCTCACGAACATGACCATCTCAAGACGAAAAGAACAGTGACCCGACAACGCTTCTCACTTTCTGTCTCATGTCAATCTCGATTTGCACATACAATCGTTTTGAATCGAAAATGAATGTATATATGTTCACCGTCTCGATTATTACATTTAGGTCAACGTCACTTGATACGTTGTCATCACCTCGATGTTGAACAACACGAAAAAAAAAGAAGTCGACACAAAAAAATTAATGAGCCACTTGACGTTTCTTCGTCTTTTCTTGCCAATATTGCATGGAGATGTGAGTAATTCAAGTGGCATCTTATTTGAATTTCTAATAAAACATAAACCCAAGAGAACATCGAAGAGAGTATGCAACTTGTAATCTGAAATCTGTCTACTACTCAAACAAAAGAAAAGAAATAAACGAATTGAAACCATAGAAATCCAAAAGGTAATTCTTTCTCACTTATATAATCGATTTGACTTTTCTTTTCCTTTGTTCTCAACGGTTAAATGAACATTGATTTGGTTTGATCTTTGATTTCATTCGACACATTTACATAAGTTCCTATTCAAGAAAGAGGATTCTTTTGTTCATTTTTGATTAAGATCGCATCTGACCTTGTTGAAACTCATATACGTATACGTTTGAATTGATCTCCGATAAGATTCTCTTGAGAGATAATGAAAAGCAACGATTTCTCAAAGTAGCTTCGTTAATTCAAGGCGTCGTTTGCTATTTATTGTTTTTACAACATTAGCTCTAAGCTAATATACGTATCGTCAGGCGGCAACATCTTTCTTTCGCGCATTGGACTTCATGTCAATCAATCTTTTTCTATCTGTCATCGCTTCCACTTCATGTAAAATATACCCTGAATGTATATATATAGAAAGAGAATATTATGCGGTAATCAACTTTAATAATATCGAGCACAACTCAAGCTCGTAATAACAAAAAAACACAGACATAGACAGAAACAAAAGAAGGATGAAGAACATTGAAGAATCACAATGTTGAAACCACCGTATTGTTTGTAGAAAACGATTCGTTTTCTACTAAGGTTGAAGCGGATGCAGCAGCGAGAATAATCTCAATAGCACCTTTGGTTTTCATTAATTCTGATTGAAATTGTAATTCGTCATGAATCGTTCGTTTTAGTTTCTCCATCGCCTTGTTATTCTTATCCGAGGGCGATAATGATGAAAAATCGTAGAGATGAGACAGCAAATGTGCCACTTCGATTAATACGGGCATGTAAGTTGTATGAGCTATATGTTTTTGAAGATAACGAAGAATTTTCAATAGAGAGAGGTCATCACGACCAGCTAAAGCTTGTTTTAACATTTGACGACGTGATAGTTCTTTGAATAAAGCTAAAACAATGTCCGGTTGACGGCGTTTTATCGCTGATGTAAAAGCTGCATCCAAGGCAGCTGATGCACGAAATTTTCGTAGGTAATTATCGTATGGAGCCAGGCGTGGACGGCGATTTGCAGTAGCAACTGCATCCGTTGTTGTTGGTGTTACAATACCTTTAAAAAAGAGGAGGATTTTCAAACGAAAAATCCAATTTTGGTACAATACCTGATGGAAAAAATCGTCGTCTTGATTTGGTTTTTCTCGAACCAGATGAAGCAGTTGATTTTGTATCATTCGTTGATTCATCATCGATGGGTACTAATGAATTGGTTGATGACATCATTTCACCATTCGTTTCATTTCGAATCGAGTCATAACTATTATTCATTGAGATCGCCGATGATGAACTCGACATCTGCTGTTTACCATCACGTCGTTTCACTGACCATAAACCACCGGGCATACCGACACATAATGCCCGATCATTGGGACCAATCATTCCCAGTGAAAGAACGGCATCCGGATAAGTTATCGTATGAACAACACGAAATGTTGATGCATCATAAATTTTCACATGACGGTCAAGACCTCCGGACAAGAGATAGTGCTGTTCACTTGTAAATCCTGTGCATAGAATCGCTTTGTGATGATTGGAGAGTGACGCTAACAGACGACCGCCACCCAACAAATCCCAAACTTTCAAATAAAGACCACCAGCTGTTATTGCGAGCGTTTCATTTGCATACATTAATACCTAAGTGAATACCTTAGATTTTTATATGCGGTATCTCTTCATTCTTACCGATTCAATTTGATCTCCATGGTCAAATTTCATCAGAATATTATCACTATTTGACATACGTCGATCAATCAGTTTCATTGAACGATCATAACTTCCACTTAACAATAAATGAGGATTCGTTGCTGAACCTGGCGTCAATGCTCGAACATAATCCGTATGAACATGATCAAAACGTGACAATTGCTTTTCTGTCGCGAGATCAAATACTCGAACAGTTCGATCGTCACTACCAGTGAAGATGTATGTCTTATCACGAGAGAAATGTGTGCAATGAACAGGTGAACCTTGATGTTCTTTAAAATGACGTAGTTGAGTACGTGTTTCAAAATCAAATACACGAACAATTCCATCTTTTGATCCAGCACAGATCAACCGACCATCTAAATAGGCAAACAAAATAATCCAACGAATATTCTCGGGTCTTTTTTTTCGAGTTTAACCTGAACGAAATGTTCCACAGTAGGCAGTATCTTTAAATGAATAGAATGATCGAACGAGTGATAATGAATCTGGTGAATAGATTTGAACACGTGTCGAATCTGTGACTGAAATCCATTGTTGACGCGTTGGAGATATATCAATAGTTGTTACTGGTCCATATTCACGAAGTGTTGTTGGATGAGAATTCGATAATGGTCCCCAATAAATATCATCATCAGTTAATGCTTGCCCATCATCAATAGGACGTTCAATTTGTAATCGTTTAAAATCAGTCATCTTCGTTAGCCTTAAAATAATCAGAAAAAAATCTAAAAAAGAAATAATATTTTGTTACGAGAATCTGAACGAATTTGATTGGATGAAATCATTGACCGATTACATGATTTACTTCAGTGACATCTAACTACTTTGTTTTATAGTAGATATAGATATTTTTTGTAACTAACGCAAAAATACGAATCAATAGAAGAAGCCAGGAGTTCTACTCAACCGATCGATTCATCGTTATGATTGTAGAGTTTTCAGAAGTTTTAATCATTCTACTTGAAATCTTGACTAGATCATTCTCGTTAATTTAATCTCTCTACGGATCACAAATCGAATTCAATGAACGAGTCGCTCGCTCGGATCCATCAATAGTTAAGTATGAAGCGTAAAACTGTTCATTTATCTCTTGAACTGATAATAGTGACATCTGATTCATTTAATATAATTCGTCTGTGCGTGACGAAAGTGAAAATATGCATGCATGAATAAATGTAATGGTCCCTCTTTTCTATATCAACATATATATTACACCACCGGAAGGCAAGACCAACCTATTTTTCAATTCACTTCCGATTTAATGTCGTTTTGTTTCATACACGACGAAAAAAGCGATAGCCTTCTAAAAAAGAATAAATGAAAGTATCCTCTTTTCGAGTTCGACACTTGAAACTACGGCCTACAAGAACAGGAAAGTGTGATTTCTATATTCTAAAGAGGTTTCTAGTTGAATTCGAATCATATCGAAAGCTATTGTTGATATATTGTTTACTATGTAGTAATTGTTGATATTAATTTGCTTCGTTTACACTTGTTGGCTAACAAAACAAAATATGTTTTCGTTCTATTCTTTTCATCTGCGCTTTCGTTTTTTTCTTTTACATTTGTTGTTGTTATTAGTATTATCGAGCAGATTGGTAATATTCTTACTCATTTGTACTTCCTCACTTATCTTCAGTATATTGTTATGTCACGTCAAACGGAAACTGGTGGCGTCAGTGCTCTTGTCGAGTATACAGCTGATATAGCCGAATTAGCTATTCATGCTGGTCATCCTGATCGAAAACATAATGAATATCTTCCATATCCTGATGAGAACTTCGATGAACATGTTGATGGACGAGCTCAACGAGGTTTGCATTGACTAACTTCGCCTTTTTTCATTCGGTGAATAAGTTTGTCCGTGTTTTCATTTAGACAAAAAATTTCTTATTTCATACGTGTATGCGAGTCCCGAACGAAAGTTTGTTCCAGGTGTTCCTGTCATTGTTACATCTATCGCAGCTGAACGCACTTACACTGCATTTACAGAATTTCTTAATCCTTATTTGTAAGTTTTCTTGCGTTAAATCGAATGTTTGATATTGTTAACTAAATGTATGTTTAGATATGATATCCGAATATCACATGGCACATTTGAATGGTCAGTTTTGAAACGTTATCGTCATTTCCATGATCTACATAAGTCATTAGTTCAATTTGTCGAAGCGGAAACTAAAAGAAATATCAATGAATTAGGAGGGTATAAGGAACTTCTTTCTTGAGCAAATAGATAGATAAATGATTATAGACCACCTAGCAAAGAAAATGGGTATCCGTGTTTTCCAACTCGAAATGATCGAATGGCATTTATCAATGAAAGCTTTATCGGAGATCGTTGTGTATGTGATTGAAAAACTTCTCACAGTTCTGATATTTCTTTTGTAGAAAATTCTCACTGAATATTTAAACAAACTTCTTCAACATCCAAAGTTTCGTCATCATCCAGCTACAGTATGAATTTCTCATATCAAACTTACCGATTAGACATTTGCCATATTTTCTAGTGTGAATTTTTCAATATAAGTTGCATTTCGTTTGTATATGGAATCTCAGTTAGTCGAAAGGAAGCGTATTTGCTAAAACGATCACACGACAGTTATCGTGGCCAACGTATGTTCTTTCGTCTACCATTTTTTTGTGATGCATTAAAATTCCAGCACGGTCGAAAGTAAATTTTGAGTTCATTTTCTTGGGAACATTTCATAGATTTTTTTATGTTCTAGGTGGTTTGTAATAAAAGATAGTTTCATAACCTACATACGACCAGAAACGAATGAAATTCGGTTTCCAATGCTAGTCGATCGAGGCTTTCATGTTTCAACTGGTTTTCGTCATTCGGGAACGTATCACGGTATTAAAATTGAGAATCTTCAACGAACGTTAGTTGTCAAATGTCGAACCACCCGGGTGTCTGAAGAATGGGTTCATCATTTGTCAAATTTACAAGAGCAAGCAAAAGGTTTTCTCAATGCAACGGCCAGTCGATTCAATTCATATGCCCCTATACGAGAAAAACAACTGGCACATTGGTAAACGAGCAAAGCAGATCATTCCTCAATTAAAACTAATCTTTTTTTCTTACAACTATTAGGTTCATCAATGGTAAATCTTATATGGAATCAATTGCAAAAGCTTTATTAACAGCAAAAGAAGAAGTATTCATAACTGATTGGTGGTTATCGCCAGAAATCATGTTGATTCGACCGTCAGATGATGAAACATATCGACTGGATTTATTACTGGGAAGAATAGCAGTAAGAATTTTAATGAGTTACTCCTATTGAATTTATCGATCTGTTGGAAGGATGCTGGAGTTCGTGTTTATATTATGGTTTACAAAGAAATCAAATTAGTCATCGGGTTAAACAGCGCATATACAAAGCGAGCATTGACTTCGAAGAGCCAAACAGGATTTATCAAAGTTAGTTAAAGAATTGGATAAATCTTCTGATTTAGTGATCGAATTTTGAATAGGTCATTCGTCATCCAGATCATTATCCTAAAGGAGGAGTTCTTTTCTGGTCTCATCATGAAAAAATGGTAGTCATCGACCAAAAAATCGCTTTTGTTGGTGGCATTGATTTGTGTTACGGACGATGGGACGATGAATATATGCGGTAAATGATTTGTTGAGGATGTTTAAGACTTGAGAGAAAATGAATGTTCTAGTTTGGTTGATTTGGGTGAAGACAATGATCGAAACTTGAAAATGTCGTCGGAAATTGCTGCTGAAAAAGCTGCGTCAGGTGGTCAAGAACTCGTTGAAACAGCTGCAAAGACAACAACACAGATGGCTGAACAAGCTGGTGAGAAACCTGCGAAGGTAAATAAACCCACTTGTGAGGCAAAAGAGAGTTGAGAAGCGTAGATATGAAACATATCCTTGACTATTAAATAAATCTTTCTATCAAATATCAAAGAAAATTCCACTGTACACTCAATGGAGTATGCAATCACAAGTAAGTTCGTGAATGAATGAATGAAATGAATGTCTAATTTGAATGTTGATGTATGTCGATAATTTTCATATAAAAACAACCGCATGTTCAAAACTTTTCGAAAATTGACCTTTTGGATATGAAATCAATTCTGTATGTTTAGAGTAGCGACCAAATGCGAACAGCATTTACAGCTCCAAACAAAGCAAGCGAAGATATTAAACCAAATTCACAAACTCATCCAGTCGGAACCGCACATCATATGAAAGCAACGGCAAAAAGATGTAAATATACAACTGAATGATTTTTCTCACGATATCGACACTGACTTTTATTTTAGGGCTCGAAGCGAAACTCACAGGTAAAGATTCGAAGGAAATATGATAGAGAATTCCATTGGTTCTGTTTCGACAGGTGCTGATGGAGATATCGATAGCGATGATTCAGACAAGGGTAACGTTATAATTTGTATGTTAATGCTGCATACACTACTAATGCTAGGAATAAGATCACCGCAACAATATCAACGGGAAATATGTTAAAAGGTGATGGTATGTTGCTTTTATTTTATTTATCGAACTTGAATGATAGAAGACTAATCTTTATTGTTCTAATCAACAATCCTATCTTGAATTAAATTAATCTATTGCTCTTGTTTTTGAAGAGGATGTTACGTCGCTTAATCGGCAACAGTTTGATGATGGACGACGGCCGGAACGTTACGCACGAAAATGGAGAAAATTTGCTCAAGTAAATGAGTCAATTCAACAATTTGATTCTGATTGACTTGATTTTAGAAAATGAAAAGTAATCATGAAGACGATGATTCTGATGAGGAATACAACGAAGAGCCTCAGGTACATCCGGAATCAATACCCGAACTCGATACAAAACGTCGATATTTCATTGGAAAAGATTACTCGAACCCGTATGAAAAAGACTTCGAAACACTTGACAAATTTAGTGAAGGTAATTCCATATTTCAATCAGTCATTGACTTGATCTATTTTCTAGATTACATCGATCGAAAAACCGTACCTCGTATGCCATGGCACGATGAAGCTGTTGTTGTTTTCGGTCAAGCAGCACGTGATGTCGCTCGCCATTTCATTCAACGATGGAATATTCATAAAGTTTGGAGAGAAAACATTCCGTCGAAGGTTAACTTCATTTGTGTTTTAGTGTGAAAAATATCTTGACAATCCCTCGTATCCATTTCTATTGCCGAAATGTTATGACAATGAAGAAGAATTAGAAGTGAAAAACTGGAAAGAATTTCTCGCAAGTAAACCATTCAAAGTCGATATACAAGTTTGTATTGAGATTTTGTGAGATATTGTTTTATTCTGATTTGAATTTCAAGTGTGTACGATCCGGTACGGAGTGGTCACTCGGAACGAAAACTACAGAAACATCTATACAAAATGCTTATGTACAAATGATTGATGCAGCGAAACATTATATTTACATTGAAGTAAATTTCTAAGAGATTGACATAATTATGACGTCTATTCACTTATTTAGAATCAATTCTTTGTTAGTATTGCACAAGATGCTCAAGTTCTCAATCAAATAGCGGATACACTCTTCCGACGTATCGACCGAGCCCATAAGTATGAAAACTTTTGATTTGCAAATTCATTGAAAATTATGCTTTTTTTGAATTAGATTGAATGAAAAATTTCGTGTGTATATTGTCCTTCCACTACTCCCTGGCTTTGATAATGTCAAAGCTGTTCAAGCTGTGCTTTACTTCATTATGCGTTCGATTACTAAAGGAGAAAGATCTTTATTCAAACGCTTAGAAAAAGCCGGTAAAGGAATCTTTTCAAACACAAATTTTTCTTAATCGTTTTTCAATGATTTAGGTGTCCCACCAGAAAATTATATCAGTTTCTTCGGTATGCGTTCTCATGATATCCTGATGGGTCATTTAGTATGAGCGAATTTCGATCGAGTAGACCGTATATGTGCCAGTGGTTTGTTTAGGTAACTGAAATCATCTATATACATTCGAAATTGATGATTATTGATGATCGAATGGCGATTTGTGGTAGTGCGAATATCAACGATCGTTCACTGCTTGGAATTCGTGATAGTGAATTTTGTGTGGTGATAAATGATCGAGAAAATGAACGTGGTCGAATGAATGGCCAATCCGTTCGAGTGGGAAAATTCTGCTCGAGTTGGCGAAAGAAACTATTCGCGTATGTCATACTCATCCTACGATCAATGGAAAAAAAGATTTTCTTTTATTTAGAATGATGTTAGGCATACAATTCGAAAATCCCTTAAATATCGACATTAGTGATCCGGTTTCCGATGAATTTTATTACTATTTTCGCGATGTTGCCAAGAAAAACGCCTTGATCTACGAAGAAGTTTTTGCAACAGTACCAAGTGATCGGGTGAGAAAATTTGAAGAAGTCAGTAAATATACAAACGCTTCGAAATTGAAAGATACAGATCCGATCAAGGTAAAGAGATTTCCATGCTTATTTTCGATTACATTTGAAAGTTTTGTTAAGGCACAAGAAAAACTAAAGAATATTCAAGGTTTGATCGTTGAATATCCCCTATATTTTCTCGATGATGAAAATTATTTACCCAGTATACGAACTCCTGAAGGTATGACTCATGGAAAAGTGTTCGACGATGTCTTTCAAGTGATTTTTGCTTTCAGGTATCGTTCCGGTTATAACATGGACATAGAAATTCGAAAAGATATGTAAATGAAATAAAAACAATGCATCTTTCACTTTGTGCAAAGTCAAAATATGCACGAAAGATTTCTCTAATTGATCAATATGCTAATATGAAATAAAAATTTTTATTTTTTCTATCGAAAGTTTTGCATATGATGACTGTTTGCATTTATTTATTGCTTTTTTATTTTGGTAATATAGAAAATAACAGTTCTCTTTTATATAAATCAGGTAAATAGCGCCACTGTAACATTCATGACAAAGGACGATCTTTACTTATAGACATAAATAATCCTATTCTTCAATTACATCGATGTGAGATCCGGAAAATCATCTCTGTACACTTTGAGATAATCCACAATGCGGAAAAAAACTTTAGTGAATGTTCTTCACCATCTGCGAAAGAAAAAATCAATAGAATTTTGTCTTTT